GGGAGGGAGGAAGGAAGGGAGGAAGGACGGAGGGAGGGACGAAGGAAGGAAGGAGGGAAGGGAAGGAAGGAAGGAAGGAAGGAAGGGAAGGAAGGGAGAGAAAAGGACATCATGCATTTAGTTCATCTTGGAAAACAAGTTTCCTGACTCACAAAGATTGATCCAAGGTCCAGGTTGTGTAAATCTCAGGTCTGGGAAGTTTGTCTGCATCTCTTAACACGCCCTGTGCGTATGCACGTAGACCAGGGGTGTTAAACTCAAGGCCCATGGACTGGATCCATCCTGCGGGATGCTTAAGTCTGGCCTGCAGAACCGGCCTGGAAATATCAAAGGACCGGCCTGTGGTACCTCACGAGGCCCCCACGTGGCTCCTTTTCGGCCAGCAGAGTGCTGCAGAAGGCCATGGAGGCCAAAAACGAGGCGTGGGGGGGGACCACGCGTGGCTGTCCCGCACCCTCCAAATTTGTGATCAATGCTGCGATTGGCATGGCAAGTCTTCTCACTCAAAGTTCTGTCTAAGTTTTCTTTCAAAACATGTGAGAACTGAAAGGTCAGATTTTTTTCCCCCTACTTATAAGAAAGAGAGTTGAGTTTTCACAAAGAACTGGAGATGATTTCTAATCAAACTAAAGGGGCAGACTCAGACAGTGAGGAGGTTGGGGAGGAACCTGGGCCAGTCCTGGAGCCTGAGGAAGGCTGAGACGGGGGCTCTGCATCGGAGGCAGAGATGGGGCCAGGGCCGTCTGACAATTATCAGCTGCCTTCAGAATCAGACATCAGCGAGGCAGAAGACCAGCCGGAGCCTGTTCCCAGTGTGCACATGCACAGAGCTGCCAGGAGAAGGGATCAGCTAAGGAACAAGGGTCAACAGGGGAGTAAAGGCTCAGCTGGGACGGTGAATGGCCTCTCCCATGGGGAATAAAAGAGGACCGAATGGGGAGTGGTGTTTGCAGAAGACAATTAGTTCAATTCATTAGAGTGATCTGTTTCTGACTTTGCTGCTACAGCGTGGCGTTGGGAAGATATCGGCCTGGCAACTCTCCCAGCCTGATAAAGGTCTTTCGTTGTGAAATCTCATGAAAGGCTGTTTGCCGGGACTTTGCTGGAGAGGAATTCCCTTTAACCTAAATAAAAGGGGTTTTATTGGAACGAGGGGTCTGCTTCGTGGTCTCGGGTCAGAACAATTATAACGTTCCCCTGGCTCATACCGCAGGCCGCGATAAGCAGAGACGAGAACCCGCCACGTAGAACAGAGTCTAAAGGCGAGTAAACTGAGAGGAAGGGGGTGCGTAGCTTACCTTTCTCCATGGTCATGAAGCCGTATCGCATCTCCTTGCAAGAGATTCCCACGGAGAGGAGGGACTGCTTCATTTCTGAAAACCCAGATTTTGTTTTAACAGATGGAAAGCAGGTGGTCGGCAAGACGTATGAAAGCGAATTTCCGTGTGGATTAACTGTAAGGCGGCGTTTAGAAACGGCCTCAAAAACCAAGCAAGGGGTTTCAATCAAGTCTCAATAGGGCCGGGAGGGACCCTGGAGGTCTTCTAGTCCAGCCCCCTGGCTCAAGCAGGAGATCCTATATCATTCTGAACCAATGGCTGCCCAACCCTTTTCTTAAAAGCCTCCAGTGTTGGATCACCCACAATTTTCTAGGGGCAGGCAGTTCCGCTGGTTAATTGTTAGGAAGTTTCTCCTGAATTCCAGGTTGTTTCTTTCCTTGACTAGTTCAATCAATTCAAGAATTTTGCGAGGAAGGAGATGCCATTAGTTTGGGGACATATCCTTGACTAACCCTCAGAGTTTGTCATTAATCATTTAACCACTGGAATCAAGAGGTGCCATTCAGCAGGTTCTGAGCAGTTCTGGAGAACCGGTAGCGGAAATTTTGAGTAGTTCAGAGAGCTGGCAATCCCACCTCTGACTGGCCCCCCTGCCAACCCCATCTCTTCTCTGCCTCCCATTGAGTCCCAGCTGATCGGCTGGGTCTCCTTTGGTTGCCCTGCGCAGGAGAACGGAGCTGGAAAGCAGGTTAGTGGGGTGGGGAGGGAAGGGGGATTTTGCAGTAATCTTCCCCTGCCACGCCCACCAAGCCCACCAAGCCACGCCCAGCGAGCCACGCCCACAGAAACCAGTAGTAAAAAAAAGTTGGAATCCCACCACTGACTGGAATCCTGAATTATGCCTAGTCCCAAACCTTCATGTATTTGTGTGGCTGAAATGGGAAAATACTTTCCCGCCTAATCATTACAATAATAATAATAATAATAACAACAACAAACACTTGGAACAGCTTATATCCTCCGACACTACCTGAACAGTTCCTAGGTCCTTGGTTAGGACTCGAGCTGTTGAGCAACCAACCAGCCCCAAAGGCTGTGAACCTCACTAAAGATTAAATCATAATAATAATAATAATTGGTATTGTTATTATTTACAATCAAAGCTTTTTGGCAGCAGAACCATCTTTCTCTACAAACAGAAAACACAACATTTATTTGGCTGGATGTATTCTAGCAGAGAGTGGCCTCCAGTTGCGAAATCCTCAGATATGGCATTGGGATACAGAACACAGGATAACAGAGCTCGAAGGGACCTTGGAGGTCTTCTAGTCCAACCCCCTTCTCAAGCAGGAGACCCTATACGTTGTCCAATCTCTTCTTAAAAACCTCCCGTGTTGCAGCATCCACAACTTCTGGAGGCAGGTTGTTCCACTGATTAATTGTTCTAAGCGTTTGGAAAGTTCCCCTTGGCTGGTTCTTCTCCTTGATAAGTTTCCGTTGCAATGACCTCTGAACTCCTCCTTCGAGGTTAAAGGTTTGATTAGATGGCGGGAATCTGCTGGATTTCAAACTGGGAGCTAACATCCTTCGCTATAGCTAAAGATCAGCGTTGTCCTCCTCTTTCTTAGCATTATATTCCACCCCATCCTTGCTTACCGCTGAAAAAAGCCGCATCTCCTTCCTGATAGATCTTTGGCACGGGGACTTTGCTCTCAGTCTGCTGGAAGATGGTTCGTAGGACTTTATCGAGGGCTCTGATGCCATACTGGGGAGAGGCAGAGAAAGGCGTCAAAAATCCGGGCCCCGCATAGGTTAAGAGCATCCTGGCTAGATGCAGGTCACGTTAAGGAAATGAACCACTCCCCCTTTTCAGCCTCCCCACGTTCTCTGGAGTCCTGGGTGCTCTCTGAGCTGGTTGGTTTGCTTAACAGACGTTTCATTACCCCACTAGGTAACATCGTCAGGGAGAGGGGAATGCGGGGTTTTGATACCTGCCTATAAATACAGGTCGTCCTGGAGTTATGGCCATAATGGAGTGCAAGATTTCTGTTGCTAAGTGAGACAGGTCTTAAGTGAGTTTTGCCCCATTTTACAACCTTTTTTTGGGCCACCCGTTAAGTGAATCACTTAAGATCACTACGGTTGTTCAGTGACTCTGGATTCCCCCACTGGCTTGGCTTGCCGGAGGATTGCAAAAAAAAGGATCATGTGACCCTGGCACACTGCAGCTGTCATAACTACGAGTCAGTTGCCAAGCATCTGGATTTTGATCATGTGACCCGTAGGGATCCCACAGAGTGGTGCGGTGGCCTAGCGGTGGAGCTCTTGCCTTACAATCAGGAGGCTGTGGGTTTGATCCTAGATAGAGTCAGATATTTTTCTCTCTCTGGGCACATTGAGAATATATTTGCTGAACAAAACTCCGCATTGGTGACAGGAAAGGCATCCGGCCAGTAAACACTCTCTACTCCATTCAGCTGCCCAGAGTCTACCCCACAAGGGATTATGGGGGGTCATGAAAAGGAGATGATGACCGTAGGGCACCTACAAAGGTTATAAATGTGAAAAATGATCATGTTATTCTTCTCAGTGCCGCTCTAACTTCGAACAAGTCGCTAAATGAACTGTTGTTAAGTCAAGGACTGTCTCTAGTGGCTTGGCCTGTCAATTTTGGTTGAGATGTGCAAGCTAATACAGGGACTCCTTGACTTACAACCACATGTTTAGTAACTGTTCGAAGTCAGTGGAACTGAAAAAAGCGATTTGCAGCCATTCCTTGCACTTACAACCACTGCAGCCTCCATACAGCCACAGGATCAAAATTTGGGTGCTTGGCAAACAGCATGGATTTATGACATTTCCAGCTTCCCAGGGTCACATAATAGCCATTTGTGATCTTCCCGGCCAACTTCCGACAAATAAAATCAAAGGAGGAATCCCGTTTTGCTTAATGACCGCACAAATCACTTAAACAACTGATTTAACTTAATGCCAACGTGGTCATAATTTGAGGACTACCTGTAGATACAAACAGAATACAAACCCTACACTCCCTTCTAGCACTGATGACATTACAGGTGGTCCTCAACTTACAACAATACACTTAGCGACTGCTCAAAGTTACGACGTCACTGAAGAAAGAGACATATATAACCATTTTTTCACACTTAACGCTTGTTTGCAGCATCCCCATGGCTGCATGATCCAAATTCGGATGCTTGACAACTAACTCCTATTTAGGAAGAGTGATCTGTTCCCCGGGGGTCACGTGATCCCCTTTTGCGACCTTCTGACAAGCCAAGTTTCAAGGGGGAAGCCAGATTCACTCAACAACCATAGTACTCACTTCACAACTCACTGTGATTCACTTAACAACTGTGGCAAGAAAGGTCGTAAAACGGGACAAAACTCAAGTTATCAAAAGTTTCGCTTAGCAACAGAAAAGTTGGGGTCGTTTTCATTCATCACCTTTTGAACCATAATACAAGAATCTCATTTCAAACACTTTGCTTTGCAATATTATCATTTATAATTTCCATATTCTTTGTTTTTCTGATATTATTTGTATGATCAATTGTATTTTCTATTTTGTATTTAATACAGTATATATAAAAGAAGAAGGATATAAAATAGTAAATAGGGATGCGGCTAACTCGAAGGTAATAATTAAGAATGACTATATTGGTATTAGTTTTCTTTTCTTTTTTTTATTTGCTATATGTTGGCTTTGAGGAAGTAAATGAAGAGAACATATAAAATAAAATAATTGGTAAGATGGAAATAATCACAAAGGGGATAAATATTGGATAATATCTTTTAGGATGAAAATGTTTTTGTTTCTGGAATTATGAATGAAATAATATGAAGTGAAAATTTATTAAAAGAAAAATGGAATCGGTAACGATTTGAAATGAAACTAGATAAGATAGCTGAAAATGTAACTATGATTTTATACGTATGTTGTAGCCCGGAGTCACATTGCTCACTTGAAGAGATGTGTAAAAAATAAAAAATTATGTAAAAAGGAAAAGAAAAAGAAAGAAATGTTGGGGTCAACTGTGGTTGTAAAATGAGGATTACCTGTACTTCATGGGGTAATGAGATTTCTGTAAGTGAACAACCAAACTCAGAGACCACCGAAGGTTGCACGTTTTAAGGATTACACTCCTGTCCTCGTTTAACCCAAGGAAAATACAGCACTAACCCCATTTTCCACCTCGGGCATCTGCTTGAATTGTTATCCCTCGAGGGATATTTCATGGTATCCGTTCATATCCGGATAGCATGAAAAATAAAGGCAAAAAATACAAACCCACAGCACCTTTTCTAACGAACAAATCTCACTGAAGGGCAGAAGCTTTGGGGAGAGCTGCAGACTTAACCTCACCTTATTCTCGAAGTTGTATTTGCTGAGGTCCCGGGATTCAGTCGCTCTTCGGTCACCGTGAGTTAAGGCACCCTGTGGTAAAGAGAAGGTCACACGTGAGAGAAAGCGTCCTTACATATTGTGTTATGGTGTGGTAGGCTGGCTTGACAGCCGCAAACAGAAAGGCATTGCAGAGGGTGATGAGCACAGCACAAAAAATTATGGCCTGTCCCCTGACACCACTGGACGAAATAGCCGGGACCTGCTGCCTCAGCAGTGTGAGGGAAATCCTCAGGGATGATTCACATCCTGGTCAGCACCTCTTTACTCTCCTACCATCAGGTAGAATTAGAATTAGAATTAGAATTAGAATTAGAATTAGAATTAGAATTAGAATAGAATAGAATAGAATAGAATAGAATAGAATAGAATAGAATAGAATAGAATAGAACAGAACAAGGAATAAGGAAAGAATAGAACAGAACAAGGAATAAGGAAAGAATAGAATAGAATAGAATAGAATAGAATAGAATAGAATAGAATAGAATAGAATAGAATAGAATAGAA